AGAGGCAAATACATGGTGGCGGATGGTCATTTAATGATACTTATGGAGGCAGAGAGTGGAGAACAAGGAGTGAATGAATGATTGCTGAATATGGGACTTGGGTGGTGGGGATAATCAAAAGGCACACTTAGGTAATGATTGACGCGTTCCACAGGGCGTAGGTCTTTGCAATACTGATGGCATGGGTGCAGGCATGGGTGCCATGTTTACGAAATGTCGGTAGCATACATTAAAAAACGGTACATAGGCTGTATACGCTTATGGTACAATCGTTGCTGCATTGGTTTTTTGTTGTCATCACGATCTTCAGTCATACCGTTTTTGCGATTGTCAACGCATAGGATAAGATCAAGCTTGAATGTAACCGTTACTCCGTCACAAGGTACAACGAGGTGGTAACCTAGAGGAACATCTCACATTGTTCTGGTGTTTAAAACACCGTACTAGCACTTTCGATATACTAGGTGCAAATGGTTTTACGCATCTATAGACTGGCCATCATGTCTACGCAGCAGACGGTGACCCGCCACCTCAGTCGTAAAAGCGGCGACGTGGCGCCTTCGGACCGTGACCGAACACAACCACCCTCCGAAAGTTAGGCAACCTAGATGACCACACATGTGACGGATATGCCCGTGCTTTGCAGACAACAACCCGTTCGACAGGATGCTGGACGTGAGCTCAGTGGCCAGGTCTGTACTGCTTTACAGCAGCAGTACGAGAGCGAGTCGAACGCCATCGGGTCCGTTCCTTCGAAAAGCCGTGCGGCTGCATAGAGGGTAGGTGAGGACCTGGTGACCTCTGCCGGTATTGGTTTCTGTGACCCATGGCGTTTGCCTGCCCTCCCTGTTACCCTCCTCCTCAGTTTGTGTCGGCCATGAGCTCATAAACACACGGTGGCCGTACGCCATAACGTCCGGCAGTATTGGCGTTGCTCGCGACCCTAAGATGTTATCAGCCTTAACGCCATCAATCATGCAGGATGTGATTAGCCCCCTTGATCAAACCCAATCATCCCTGACCTACGCGGGCCTGAAAGTGGTTCATGACCACAGACCGTGTCACCAGTGATTATGTGACTTCTGCCAGTTCCCGGGCGGTGGCTCCTCTCAGTAACACACATCCTGGTTTGTCACAGTGACTTCTGGTGTTTTCGCCAGGTACGGTGGGCGCGTTGGCCGGGTTCGCCGCCCTCGGTGGCTGCTGGCGTTTGCTCTGTCGCAGTCCGGCCGCAGCGCTGGCCGCCGCCTCCACAACCGCAGCCACCACCACCGCAGCCACCACCGAAACCACCACCGTCACCACCACCACCGAAGCAATCACCACCACCGAAGCAATCACCACCACCACCGTGGCCCCGGCACGACGCTCTTTGGACGGTGAGCAGGGCGGGAGCGGGCCCTAAGCAGCTGAGGCCCGGTGAGCGGGCCTAGTGAGCGGTCCTGGTGGAGCAGGTCTTCTCCAGCAGGCCTAGTACAGCAGGTCTCATCCAGTGGGCCTGTTACATCAGGTCTCCTCCAGACGTCTGGTTGTAGCGGGACTCCTCCAGCAAACCTGAGCTGAGCGCATGGTTCTTCCACCATGCCGCTCAGCAGCATGCCGCTCCTTACCGCCCTGGACTGTCGCTGGGTCTGGGCGCCGACGGGTGACTGTCGTGACGTCTAGGGCGCTGACGGGTGGACCGTCGCAAGGTCTGAAGCGCTTTCGGTTAAACTGTCGCTAGGTCTGGAGCAGCTGACAGGTAGACCGTCGATTTTAGCAGCTGTAGTCACAAAATCGCAAAGTAGAAATTGCTAAGGGACGAGCGTAACGTAAGGTGCTCGAACCATGGCCTGCGGCCATCAAGTATTATTCATGCTGACTTTGACCGCGCACGCTTTTCTGTTTTATTACCGACTTTGTCCTAATCTCCTCAGATTCTGACCCGGAGCTAGAGCAGTACTTTACGGCGGACGTAACCAACAGCATTGGTGAGTGACTTTTAGAGCGGGAGATTGTCACCTGTTGTTGGCCAGCTGGCAGCTGAACAAAAGGGGGGAGATTACCACTTGTCGTCAACTGTTAGCTGAACAACCATACACCTGAATACAGTGAACTACCATAGTAGTGGGCAGACCCCCATACAAGAGTTCTCGGCGCTATGCGTTTCGTTTCACCAAAACCAATCAAAAGGCTCGGGAAAAAGTTCTACCAACAATCGCCGTCTCGGGATATGAGCATATCTCCCTCATCGCCGACCACCTGGCACTGCCGCTGCTCCGCCGACAGAGATGCTGAGGTCTGGGTCCGTGCTGCTGCCGCTGCTGTCGAGCACGGCTGACCTGCTCTGGGCCGGTGAGGAATCCTCCTGCCAGCAGTACCGGCTCTGCCAGCTCGGCCAGCTTGCACGTCGCTCCGGTCCACCTTACAGCGTGGCCGTACCCCTAGCCAGGTATGTTGGGGGAGGGCAGTTGGCAAATGAATGGGTATGTTCAACATTCCGGGCGGAAGAATGAATGACTGTAGACGGAAGGGCATAACACTGTTGCGTGCAATAGAACTTGCATATACAGGGAACACCGACGCCTACGTGTTAATCCATCGTGTTCTCCTTCATTGAAATTGATCACACCTCATGGTGGACTCAGTCCTTCCTACAGCAGCAAAAGATATAATATAGTCGTTCGAAAGATCCATTATGTCAACCAATCGAATTCAAACGCGGGAGCTGCGAACCATTTGGGCTACAGAACGTGACAGAATCGTGAAGGTGCATTTTTCAGTGATCCGTGCGTGTTTGCAGTTTTCTGCTTCTTTCTGTCCCCAGCCTGCCACTGTCCTCAGAATGTGCAGCGGTGTGCTGACCTCTGTTGACCCTCTTATGACCTTTGGTGCGCAGTTGTGACCTGAGCTGACTGTCCTGTGCTCCATCGTGACGCCGTCTAGACCAGCATGGTGTGCGATGTGCGCACCTGGTGATATCTGGCGACATCTGGTGACATCTGGTGACATCTGGTGATCTGCGCGACATCTGTGACCGGGTCCCTCGCTGTTGCAGTCTGCCGCTATCCTGGATCAAGAGCAAGTTCCAGGGCTCCAGGATCACCGACCTGTGCTGGACGATGGCCTCCATGGGCCGGACTACTGACTGCTCGACCATGTACAAGAGCTGCTGAGCTGACACGAACGCGGCCGCTCACATGCCTACGACTCCATGTGCGCGCAATGATAAGGGCTGTCATTAAAGCGGCGCAAAACATCACACAGCGACTTGCAGGGAGCCTGGTTACGTTCTCAGCTACGGAAAGTTTGTACGCTTGGACGAGACACCAGGCGAGGGATGATGGATAACTTGACGACGAAACGACTGCCGCAACATTGCTGGATGTCGGAGCACACTTTCGCGTGGTGCTAAAGCACCTCACGATAAGTTTAGGTGGTTGGCTCTCAAGCCCAGTCGTGGGTCATTCCAGTGACCAAATATTCATTTCAGCCGGGTCTCACCAAGAGTCCTACTTTTTTTACTACTCGAAGTCATCGAAAGTAGAAGAAGGGTGTCGTTAAAGCATGTCTCTATTCATTTCGCGATTAGAAGGTCTCGTAGAGCTGTCTTCCCTTGTCATATTTTTACGCACTTCTTGGTTGCTCAGGTGCTGGATTGTTGTCACTTGTTATTGTTATTCTGTGAAAATGGTTCACTTAATGATTACTGTGTGATGCAAGAATCGCATGCCATGCTAAGTGTTGCTATATGATCCTTTTCGGTGCATTTCTTTTATATGCTATATATATATATATAACAGTTATACAGTTATATATATATATATATATAACTGTACACGTGTGGTTTATATACATACATATATATATACGCATATATATATATATATATATATATATATATATATATATATATAGTTTGTTGCTATTGTTAATTTCTGCAACACGCATGTATATAACTTGACATTGTACTTTTACCCCAACTCCAAAACTGATGTGATGCGCAAATGGTAAAATATACGAACACGCAACGTACCGTCCCTATGTAGTATTACCAGAAGCGAAATATGCCAACGATGATGACTAGCGTTCCAAGAGTCACAATGTGCGACCCGAGCGCGCATGCGCCACCAACGGTCGCCATCCGCCAGTTCGTTCCACCGCCGACATACGAGAGTCCATCTGACGGGTACATCTGGCGGTACATCTGTTTGGAGCCGGTCTCACACTGCTGACAAGGCCTCTGGCCGTCTGATGAAGAAAACTGGCCTGAAAATGACCAAAGCACATCACGCACACTGTAAGGTGCTTTGCAGTCCATCAGGAGCGCGGTGCACGCGGAAGGCTTTCATGGAGCCACTGTTGGGTGAATGGGACCGTACAAGTACACCGTCATCGTTAACCCACCCCCAACGCACGGTGCGGAGCTCACATGACGTCAGATGATCGCATCTCTTACATCCGGCCACGCCGTCAAAGCCGCAAGTCAGTGTGCTGGATGTACGATGTCATGCACCAGCCAGCGTGTTGTCTGCAGCCCCGACAGAGCGGACGTCAGCCAGTCACGACAGAGCAGACGTCAGCCAGTCACGACAGAGCAGACGTCAGCCAGTCACGACAGAGCGGACGTCAGCCAGCCCCGACAAAGCGGACGTCCGCCAATCCCGGCAAAGCATCCCGACTCTCTTTCTCTCTCCCTCTTTTACTTTCTTTCTCTCTCTCTCTTTCTCTCTTTCTCTCTCTCTCTCTCTCTCTCTCTCTCTCTCTCTCTCTCTCTCTCTCTCTCTCTCTCTCTCTCTCTCTCTCTCTCTCTCTCTCTCTCTCTCTCTCTCTCTCTCTCTCTCTCTCTCTCTCTCTCTCTCTCTCTCTCTCTCTCTCTCTCTCTCTCTCTCTCTCTCTCTCTCTCTCTCTCTCTCCCTCTCTTGACACAATCTGAAATGTCTGAGGCAGCAGTAGGTGGCAGAGAAAAACCGCAGTAACAAGTGTTGAGAGATTGCGGTAAGAGTGGTCAGCTGCAGCCGAATCTTCATAATCTAGAGTATAAATTATGACATTGCATTGAGAACTGGGAGACAAATCGCGTTTGTCTCCAAACTCCTAAGATGATTCGCCGTCACGGGAAACCATTGGTGTCAAGGTCGACAGATCCCAGGGCGATAGGACAGATCCCAACCGACGCCACTTTACCATGCCTTTGGCCGCCTGCCGGATGGACTCGCCGCTTTTTTAAGCTGTCTGTCATATCTGGCTTCCGGTCGCAGCTGTTCATGAAGTTGAACTTCTGAGAATGGTACGAACGGTACTGTACGACATATATATATATATATATATATATATATATATATATATATATATATATATATATATATATAAGCATGAACGGCAACTCCTGGTAACATCCGTGCACAATTTTTGACCCATATCTACGCCAATCACATCCCAGCTGACAGACGTTAACACTTTAAATTCAGATTAAGCACATGTGATATTCTTTTACGATACGCAAGCAAGTTTTCAGACCTGCCTGTTTGTCTGACCTGTGCTGTCTGACCTGTCCTGCCTGAACTGTCTGTCTGACCTGTACTGTCTGACCTGTACTGTCTGACCTGTGTCTACCTGACCTGTCTGTCCGTCTGACCAGTGAAACTATTCTGTCTGACCTGTCCTGTCTGACCCGTCCAGTCTGACCTGTCTGTCCGAGGTTTCCTGTCTGACCTGTCTCACTGTCTGACCTGTCTGACTGCCTGACCTGTGCTGTCTGAACTGTCTTCCTGACCTGTCTGTCTGACTGACCTGTCTGTCGAACTTATTTGTCTGTCTGACTGACCTGTCTGTCTGACTGACCTGTCTGTCTGACTGGTCTGTCCTCTCTGACCTGTCTTGTCTGACCTGTCTGACGTTTCAAAAGGGGCTCCTCGCGTATTTTGTTTTTTGTTTTCTTATTTGATACAGGCGTAGAATGAGGAGTTGTTGCGGGAAATCATCGCCAAAAACTGAACGGCATGTCAGCCTTCCTGTCAGCCTGCACACGGCATCCAACTAGTTCCTCTTACAAGACAGCACAGTTGCCTACCTTTACCACGAGCAAGTTGTAATGAAATCGTTCGGAGCTGATCTGCGTTACCGCTGACTGTGCGCACCCGGACCCTAGAACCACGTGCACATCGTTATGATCTCTGCTACGTTGGTCACACTGCAACGAAGCCCTGAAGAAGAAATACTATGTATGCTGCAAGTGCAGGCTACAAGACGGCGCCCATGTCTATTCACTTTTTTTCGTTCTAAGATCCAGCTATTTCTGCCCACAGCCTCGTGCATGATTCCAGAAGGATCAGACACGAAGTCATGGCTGAGATGAACGCTGCTAGTCAGCGAATGGTTAAAAAACATACGTGCATTCAGCCTTAGCAATGCATTGCATTGCATTGCATTTGCATGCAGTGCATTCAGGTGCCTTTGAAACCTACATCACTGGGTATGACATCACATCACATCGTTAAATATTATTGCGTCAAGTCGAGGCAGACACATGACCATTTTTTATAAAGAGAAGATAGAGGGCAAACGTTAATTTCTTCCCGAGCTCCTGCAAATTAGGACCGAGTTCCTGCAAAATTGCTCAGAATCTAGCGTGAACCTGAGGCGATAAACGCATTCAACGGTTACAAAAATCAAAACCCTAGAAACAGACCTCGTTCTGCGAAGCAGGCTTCCAACGTTACGAAGTGTGCTAGGGTCGGTCTCACTGCTCCCTCCCGAGACATTGGGGGAGAGCACCGAGCCTCTGGTCCGTTGTGGTGGTCAAGCTCCACCTCTTCATCTTTATTCCGGCTTCTGGGCCTCCCACAGCGCGGAAAAACCGCCCCGAACACATTTGTATGGTGGTGCTCCCAGCGACCAGCCCCCGTTGCTCGACTACGGGCCGATCCCTGCAGCCACGGCGTCGACAGCGGCCAGATTCGCACTCTCGCCGCCGAGCGACGCGTTCGCGACAGCTTAGCCGCGCTTGCCGCTGAGTCTGCACCGCCCTCCCGCTGTGATATACCGCGCTGGGTATCACGTGAAAGAAACCGCGCTGCCCGGGCGCCGGTGTGTGCATTTCACGCGGAAGCTTGGCAACGGCGTGTGTTTTTCATATGGGAGCATCCTCGCCGTCGTCAGGCACGAGGCGTAGCAGGCGGGCCAAGTGTCTCTTAAGTGTCCCTCAGGTCAGCATTCAGCGCGCGAACTTGGGAGGTGTGGTGTCCCTCAGATGGTATTTGCCGCTGGTGGGTCAATCACTGGCAACGCCGTCATAAACGACGCGCGGTTTGTATTCGCCGAGCTCCCCGTCTTTGCCTGCACTGCTGTGCCCTGCTCTGCCTTGTCTGTCTACCCTGCCCCGCTCTGCCCTGTACTGCCTAACCTGCCCTGCCTGGACGGTGTGCAGGCAGCAGCCGCGGGGACCTCAATCGCCAGAGGACCATCCATGCACCATTCCATCCAAACACGATGCAAAGACCGGTCCCATCTTTTAGACGTGTCTTTTACCCAACACAACTATGTATCTCGCACGTGTTTGCACGGACAGTGGTGGTCTTCCTTAGAGAGCGTGTTCCAAATTTGTACACGGTTTTGAACTCAAATAGCCATCTTGAAGATCATTCGGTACAGCTCTTTGCCCTGTCCTTGTGAAGATTCATTGCTCTCTAGTTTCTGAGCTACAACCCTCCGTAGATGCACAACATTTTGTGTGCTGACTATTACAGGGTCACCCAGGTATCCAAGACGCTACAATGACCTCATTCAAATCCTTCTGTCCCATTGACTGTGCAGCGATGAACGTCTGGCGAAATTTTTGTAGCGATTCGTTCATATCTGGCGTTGGTGAGTACCATTTCCAGATATAACGGCCGTCAATTGGTTCTTAATCAATATAATGCACGATACGATGGCGCCAGGGGTGGATCCAGGATTCTGTCAAAGGGGGGGGGGGGGGGAGGACACGCGGCATTGTAGCCTCCCGTAGAGTTTGGGCACTCTCCCTAACAAATTCACGTATTCAGTTCATTTCGGTTGCGTTTATGGCCTTCTTGGTAGTTGCTGTAAGGCTTTGCATGGTGCGTTGATCGTTTATGTTGTATCGATACAGGAAGTTAACAAAGTTTTACCGTTTCGATCAGTTCAGGCGCCTTCCTGGTCCAGGGGAAAGATGTTGGACTCGTAATCCAGCGGCACGGGGTATGAACCCCAGAGTGAGCGCATTATTTGACCCGACTGAATTGGAAAAGCTACCTGGCACCCGACTATCGAGGGTCAACCCAGGCCCGGGGCGGCCGTGCTGCAGCATTGCGCGGTACGTAAAAAC